AGGGTTTTCGCTATGAATGGAAGGAGAGAGACAGGTCTGTAGCTATCTGTAAGTGAAGTGTTTAATGTAGGTTTTTTGAGCAGTGGGGTTACCCGAGCCTGCCTGAATGCAGTGGGGAAGGTTCCTGTGAGGAGAGATGTGTTGATGATATGTGTGAGTGGTGGTAAAAGTGTAGGAGAGATTGCTTGGAGGAGGTGCGAGGGGATTGGATCTACAGGGCATGTTGTAGGATGGCTGGAGAGGAGAAGTTTTGATACTTCTGCCTCAGTGAGGGGACAGAAGGAGAAGATGGGAGTTGTTGCAGTGGGTGTGGTTGGTTTGAAGTCCTGTGTGTAAATCTTCCCACATAGTGAGGTAGATATGTGGGGGCGTGTTAGAACGAGCCGTTTTAGGTAGGTGTGGCTGACTCTTAACTTTTATAAAGAATATCTCTTTGGATTTGAGACTTTAGTCTTTGCAACTTTACAGATCTTCTCTATGCACCAAGAGCTTGTAACACTCCAAAGAGAAAGGAAAAATTGAAATCGCATCATATGACCCCTTTAAGTTCTTACGACACCCTCAATGCATTCACACCTTCGAAAAAAACTCAACTGCATGCAACACATACAGTACACACAAATTCTGTACTTGATAATGCTTATATATCATGGTGGGGACTTTCCATTGACTTTACTCTTTCCACAATATTGACTTTACCCTTTTTACTTTAGAATTTTATTATAGTACACTAAAATGTTTACTTTGAGTGACTTTCAGTTTGATTAGGACACAGTGCAACCCTACAACAACCATTTTTCCTTTTGAGTTTTTCAGATGTTGCCAACTTCGGGGAACATTTTGTCCATAAAGTATACAGCTAAGTCAGTAACACACAAAGTCTCGTGTCCATACCTCATACATAAAGATGTCAAAAATACGTGTAGCTATTGGCAGGGGTAGGAAGGTGAGAAACAGAGTGAGAAACCAGGATGAGGCATACATAGATGTATGGAAACTCTGAGAACGGAAATGAACGTTCAGCTCCGGCAACTGCTCCTGATCACAGAGATGAAAACATGATATAAGTAAAAAAAAAAAAGTACAGTGAAAGACATTAGATAAAATACTTCTGAGAAGAAACAAATGGGCTGCCTCTTGACTGTGTCTATGCACTATAAATCTGTTGCCTCCTTGTGGACAAACATGGCATTACTCCAGACATCTTGGCATGCAGTATAAAATATATAATAAAAGAGAAATCCCATCTCTGTCTAAATCAGTGGAAAAATCACAACGATAACTAAGACTTGAATCATGTTCGCCTCTTAAGCGAATCATATATTGGCCCCTATATAGGTGACAGTAAAGATATTTATTATGTTACAAAAAACGATTTCAAATTAATACTGTGTATAATACTACTATTAATACTCTTAATAATTTTACACACACAAATATTAAGCAGCACAACTGTTTTCAACATTCATAATAACAAGAAATATTTCTTGAGCACCAAAACAGCATATTAGAATGATTTTTTTTTAAGGATCATGTGACACTGAAGACTGGAGTAATGCCTCAACAACAAGAACAAGCAGTCTGCTATTTTTATTTTTCCTTGAACGCTCCCTCAACATTATATGTACAGTTATATTAGTCTAGATTCTATAAAATATTTTTTCTTACCTGTAGCAAGTGTTCAAACTGGTAGATGCACAGACCCAGTTCAGCCATGCTGGGTTTAAACAACTCTCTGAGCCTGTACTCCTGCATTAGTCTGACAAACACACAGAAAGCCTCCTCCTCCGGCATCTACAAACACACAATGAATGATGCATTTGGTTTATGCAAAGTTTGGCTCACAGACATTTCTTTACATTACTTTAGTTCATAATAAGCAAAACACAAAAGCAAACCTGCATAAGTAGCAATCCTACGATGAAAGCACTGCCCTGACAATAACCAACTTCACGATCCACAAGAGAATATGCCTGTGAGACCAAGAAATATACAAGTTAAAAGTTATAGTTAAAAAAAAAAACTTTTTTTGAAGACTGAAGTAATGGCTTCTGAAAATTCAGCTTTGCCATCACAAGAATAAATGACATTTTAAAATATATTCAAATAGAAAACAGTTGTTTTAAATTATAATCATACAATATTACTGTATTTCTTGTCTTTTTCCTGTTCTGTATTATTCCCTGGCCACTTCTGACTTTGATTGTATTGAAAACATTGGCGTCCACATTCTGCTAAATTTATTTTTTTTATCTACTGAAGGAAGAAAGTTGTGCAGGTTTGGAATGACATATGAGTAAATTATGACCATTTTCTTTTTTTTGGGTGAACTATCTCTTAAATTTTTTGTTTTGTTTCGTTTTTTGTAATCAGTGTGATAATTACTTTTTGTAAATGTTTTAATTTTTGTTCAATAAGCCACCACTCGCTCTTTCTTTCGTTTGCTCTACCGTGTCTCCACTTTATCTGATCTGCTCTCTTTCTTTCGCAGCCCATTTTGTGTCTTTCTCACCTTCATGACATTAAACAGAACTTCCTGTCCCAGGCTGTCCTGGCCTTTGAAGAAGTCATGTTCTGGATATGTGCGGGCAATATCTCTGCGTATGAGTTTCTCACAGGGTGAGGACATCTTTAATAGTTCAGAGTACTGATTCTTTACTGGCATGTCAGTGGCATTACATAATAACTGCCAAACGATTGCTCGGAAATGATGAGGAATGCCTTTCCTTAATAGCTCCTGCAGATAGAGAGAGGGTAAGGTAGAAAATAAAGAGATGAATGTACAAGTTTCAGATCCTTTTGTCTAGTGTCTATGATGTGGGTTAACACATTGTCATTCAGATTCTGAATGAAAAAAGGACCAATCAATCACCTTCAGAAGTTTGTCTTTCTTTCGTCTCCACTCATCCCACTCATTGACAATCCGTCCCCACAGGATCCAAGTGTCTTCTTCCAGATGGGACAGGTTAGAAGATGCGGATGAGCTTGACACCAGAGAGGAGCCACTATTCCTCCGAGATCCACTCATTGAGCGCATGGATTTGGAATCTGCTTCTAGCAACCTGAATGCAACACGATAGATGGAGATCATGATAGTGCAGCCTAGTGGCTAAAAATCTGGGTTGCTACCCAAAAGGAAGTGGGAACAAATTCTGTCAGGGAGGTTAAACCTATACTATTGTTCAAAGGTTCAGAGTCAGTAAGACTGTTTTCAAAGAAATCAATAGTTTTATTCAGCAAAAATTCAGCTTTGCATCACTGGAATGAAGTAAAAAAAAAAAAAAAAAAAAAAAAAAAAAGGATTTAGTAGAAAGGTAGCTATTTTAAATTGTAATAATATTTCACTATATTACTGTATTGTATTGTATTTTTGATAAAATAAATGTACTTAAAGGTGTCATATGATGTTGCTAAAAAGAACATTATTTTGTGTATTTGGTGTAATGAAATGTGTTTATGCGGTTTAAGGTTAAAAAAACACATTATTTTCCACATACTGTACATTATTGTTTCTCCTCTATGCCCCGCCTTTCTGAAACGCGTCGACTTTTACAAAGCTCATCGGTCTGAAAAGCAAGGTGTGCTGTGATTGGCCAGCTATCCAGTGCGTTATGATTGGCCGAATACCTCAAGCATGTGACGGAAATGTTACGCCCCTTACCATATTGTGATGATGCCCTGTCAGGCTGGAGCGATGATTCAAAAACATGAAAACCCATTATAAACGAGGCATTCGTTGCATCCAGTGGGGACATAATTATGGATTATAATGACTTATACTGTCTTTTTACGTGTTGCGTTGCATCGCGCCGTGTAAACATAAAACCATGTCTGCATTTGTGATCGGAGAAATGACAAACAACAAGCCCTACTCTACACTGCCCAAAAAACTCGCTTTAAATATAAAAAATATAAAATATAAAAACTCTTTAAATATAAAAAACGTACTTACAATCTGTGAGTCAGAACAGCCGGCATTGTAGTCCATTGTTCTCCATAAAATGTGCTGCACACATCTGAATATTTGGGATGAAGTGTTCTGGAACAGTGTTGTAAATACAACTTAACCACTGATTTCTAGTCATCTCCTCTTTTGGAAGGCCAAACGAAGTAGTTTCGCTTTCACAATGAAACACATGCTAATCATATACTCAGCCTCCAACTCACACACTGGCGAGTAAAATCTGAGAATTTATTAGCCATTGGCTAATATTAGACATCATTTAGTCGCCCAGAGTGAAGATTTAGTCGCATGTGCGAGTGATTTACTCGCAATGTAGAGGGTTGCATGGTGAAAGCCGATCCGGTGATGCACAGAACAAAGTTGTTGTATTTCCTCAGCAACCAGCACGGATCAGCTCCAGGCATGACGAAGCAGATATCGTCCTCTTTTGGAAAGCCAAACAAAGTAGTTTCGCTTTCACAAAGAAACACACA